AGGACACTCTCATATTCCTGTATATACAAGATAAAGATTGCTTTCTGACAGCAGGTCACAACTGGAGTTTGAAAGTTGTAATCTTAAGTTTAAAATTTATTCTGCATATGGAACTTCTTTAGCTTACAGAGATGTTTTGAGTCAGAGAACTGAATTTTGGTTGGCTAGGCTCTACTGAGAGAGTGTAAAATCTGTAGTCTGAAAAACTGAAAACTTTGTTTTCTACCATGAGGCCCAGTAACGACTCTTGGATGTGAAATTATTTGGTAAATACAAACAGATTTCTCCTGCACTGTTATTAGGAAGCTGAGAAAACCTCATGTGTGGGATTCAGCTGCTGGCTCTTCCTGGCAAACTGTTTGCTCTCTGTGCTGCCCAATGGGTGTATTTCTGCTCCTCTCCTTGACAGAGGAAAGGAATTACTGTATTCTGTTGCACTGGAGAAATCAGCATTACTTAATTTCTTGGCTATTGTTCATTTCATGGCCCAGATGGATAGCAAGGTTTATTCTCTCCTGACATCAGTAAAAATTTGGGAAGCAGAAGTGCTTAGGTGTTTGGCTGAGCCAAACAGGAGCGTGTTGGGCGTGTATGATTTACTCACCCTTGTACTCGTTAAGGTGGGAATTTGGATCAAAACCAGGCAGGGTGTAATGCCTCTCTTGCCAAGGGTGTGAATGAAATGATTAAAATCCTCCACTGGGAAATTCTAGCAAAGTGCTGCACCATTTTATGCTATCTTGGTATTATTCATGGCTATTAGGCTCATTTTAATTTTTCCAAATTAAAACATTAATTATAGCACTAAGTCTTACATACTTATTACACACCTCCTACTTCTTCTGTACTATTTATCCTAATGAAATACTTACTTCCAGTAAGAGTTATCTGATATCACCTGTAAATCCTAAAGGAGTGCTACAATAACACCAGTACAATAAAGCAGAGGTAAGAATTGTTTCTCATCCCTTTCCTTTTGCAGTTACAGGCTGGTGCCCGAGGTGTGGTTCCCCGAGCAGTACCACGATGCTCTTCGTGCAACAAAGCATTTCCTGCAGCCTGATGTCTTAGCTGAGTATTCAGTGGACCCCAGTCGAATTGCAATCTCTGGGGACAGCGCAGGAGGGAATTTGGCAGCTGCTGTGTGCCAGCAGGTAACACCCATTGAATGTTCTGTATTGCACTACAGCAGTCCAGCCCAGAGAGGCTGGCAGGGTCTTTGTGCTGCACCATCACAAGGTGATGTGCCACGCCTGAAAACAGAATGGTGGAAAGTCACAATCTGCTCATTTTTCTTCAGTAAAGTGACTCATTCACTATATTAATCTCATAAATTGTGATGTGTTCTTACAGTCACAAGTTGTTATGGACCAGAGTTGAAGAGCAAGTAGCTAAATTACTTTTTTTTTACCTATTTTGCTGGTGAACACCTCCTTTTCCAAGTAGGCACAATTTCTTAATATGGTTGCCTATTTTTAGATAATCATCTCAGGAAATATGGTTTTATTTCTTTAAAATACAAATGAAGGACAAAATATACAGTAAATGGTGCTTAATTCTTCTGTTAAATTGTCCTCCTCTAGCATTTTGCAATTTTAAGGACATTTCTTTTGTGTATCTGCAGTTTAAATGTAATCTGAGTTTGATCTAGTAAAGAGTTTAAAGGAGACCGGAGGCAAGTAATATTCTTCATGGTTGAATGAAATATTATTATTACTAACTTATTTCTATTTCCATAACCATTAGTGATAAGAAAGCAGATACCATGTCCAGACAACTAATTATCATGACAACCTTGCAATATTGAATTAGGGTGGAAAAATTAATAAGAGACAATTACAAAAAAAACTTCGATTTTGAGGACTGATAAACATGATAGTACCACGTTTTCAAAAGAGCATTCCTAATTTAATTTCCTGATGCATAATTCTTTTTAAACCAGATGAGACACGATAGGGCACTGCATATCTTGTGTAGCAGATGAAACAAAGAGTTTGCTGACTCTTCCAGTAAAGGCAATCGGGAGCACCAAATTTGTAATTGAGAGACTCAGATCAAATGCAGGTCAAGGCAGACACAGGGAGGTGCACAGGCGAACCTTTGCTAGAAGAAATTGTGGATGCCAGCAATCTGCATTGGCTGAAAAAAACCAGTTAGATCAATTCATGGAAGAAAAATCCATGGAAAACTCTTAAAAGCAAGAGTAGCTCCTTTGATTCAGGAAATCCTGCTGCTGCCACCTGTTCAGCTGGGCACTGTGTTAGAGAAATGCCACTTTACATGTAGTTTTTCTTCTTACTCCCTTCAATAAACTGATGTCACTGATTTCTGTTGGGAGCAGGATGCTGGATCTGCCTGAATGGCCACCTTATGAGAGGAGAAAAAGATCAGGCTGTAAATACCTCAGACAAAACAGCCACATTACCTGTAGAAGAGCAGAATTCACTCTAAAACTGTCCAATGAATGTTTGCTTTTCTAAAGTACCACATTGATACGCGTATTTATCTTAACACCGTCCTGTGTTTTTCGCACAGCTTAGCAAAGATGAGGATTTGCCTGTCAGACCGAAACTGCAGGCCTTGATTTATCCAGTCCTCCAGGCCTTTGACTTCAACACACCTTCCTACCAGCAGAACATGAACATGCCCGTGCTCCCTCGCTACGTCATGATCAGCTACTGGATCGACTACATCAACGGCGACTACGACTTGGCTCGCGAGCTGCTCATCAACAACCACACCACGCTCAACGTGGGCCCCGCGCTCTCCTTCCGCACGCGCCTCAACTGGACGTCCCTGCTGCCTCCTTCCTTCAAGAAGAACTACAAGCCCGTGGTGCAGACCACGGGCTCGGCAGCCATCGTGGAGCAGCTGCCGGCGCTGCTGGACGTGCGGGCGGCGCCGCTGCTGGCGGACGACGCCACGCTGGCGCGGCAGCCGCGCGCCTACGTGCTGATCTGCGAGAACGACGTGCTGCGCGACGACGGCGCCATGTACGCCGCGCGCCTGGAGCGCGCCGGCGTGCCCGTCACCCTCGACCGCTTCCACGACTGCTTCCACGGCTGCATGATCTTCACCATGTGGCCCACGGATTTCTCAGCCGGCGTGCAGACCAGGAACAGCTACATCAAGTGGCTGGATGAGAACCTGTGATGGAAGGGTGGGGGTGTGGCTGCAGTGTCTGTTCTGGCGGAAGAGCAAACAATCAAAAAGTGCACTTTGCTGAATTCTGACTTCACTGTTCCGCTGCAGACCGCTACCTGCAGTGTTTTCTAGCTCCATTGGCGTTGCCCAGTAAAGAATTTTGAGAAGTATTTTTTCAAACCAATCTTTTTTCCACTTTCTCCCAGATGTCTTTTGCCAAACATATACATGTGTTGAGCAGGGAGATCAGGATTCTTGCAGGATTCTTACCTGGCTGCAGCTTTCAAGCTTTGACTCTTAATTAGGTAGAAAGGCCCTGGCTTTGAAGTGATGGTAGATAAATCCCAACATCAACATCTACTTCTGAATATGTAAAAAACATGAGCTTGTTTACAACAGTCACAGTGAGAAGCCCGGGCAGCAGGGCCATGAATTTGAATGACAAGCATGGGTTTAGGTGTTGGCTTTTAGCCTTAGACAAACAGCTCATTTAAATTTTTAAAAATATTTTTTGAAAAAGCTCTTCTAGACAGTGAAAACAATGCTAGATGAGTCTCTTAGCCAAGCCTGTTATTCAGCTTTGGAATTTGGTCTTTACCACCTTTTAATAAATATATTTTAGAAGGGTAAAGGACTAAATATATTTTCAATTAGAAGTATGATAGCATACACAAAAATAGGTAAGATAAAATATTAATGTGTAGCAGCAGAATCCAGGTTTCCTGTGTGAGTGACCTTCAAAGCTGACTACTTATTTGGCTAAAGGATGTGACTTCACCTGTGTTTAAAGCCTCAGTTGTATGACCTCCTTACAGAAAATACTGATCTTACTACAAATAGTCTGCTGTGTGGTTTGCACTAATATTTGTAATTAACAGTAGAAGTTTTTGTTCATTGACTTTTCTTTTGTGTTTGTAGTTTTTATTGTATTTCCTGCTTCGTGAAAGGAGGAAAGCAAGCGAATACAAGTGGGCTTCAGTCTATACAGAAGATTTAATGCTGAGCTTTGCAGCTGAGCTTTGTCTCTCTTGTAGACTGCTCTAGGTAAGGTGATCTCACTACTGGGCAGCAAATCTCTGCAGTTTGAGCCAGTCTGTAGAGTTCAGACAGGCAGGACAGGGGAGAGAAACCACTTTGTGATTGTCTATTGCCCATGCTGCTCACAGCTTGCAGAAATGAAGGTGGTTGTCAAAAGCCCATAGGCACAGAGGAGAGAGTGGGAGATTAAATTCATCCTCAGCTTTACCACAGACTTCCTGTGGGTCCCCATGAGAGGAAGGTCATCTCATTACACCCCACTTCTGCAAGGTAGGCAGTGATTTCCTACCTCACAATGGAGCTGTGAAGCTGAATTCTCAGGCATGGGTGAAGCACACAGATGTGAATGGGACTGCAGGCACTCAGCAGCTCCCGTGGCTTTTGACTTTCCATCCTTTTCCAAGAGCTGGCTCAGAGCAGCCTGTCCTACTTCAGGGATGCTGCTGGGCATGGATCCTGCTGAGCAGTTTGCTCCCCTCTGTTCTGGTTCCTGTCAGGAACCCTAAGGTGAGGCTTCTTAACCTTTGGAGATCATGACAAAGGCAATTTCATTAAATCATTCCTTATAGCAGGAGGCTGAAAAGTTCTTCAAACCCCCCCCCCCCCCCCCATCAGGTTCTGGTAGATCAAACTGCCTTCTGACATTTAAAATACATACAGAGCCTTTCACTGGGATTTAAATAAAATAGGAGAACGGCTTTGCTGAATCACTGCTTCCTGGAAACACCAGGTTGTTAACGTGGTTGTGTGTATTAAGAAAAACCATTAATGAGACAAGGCCTGGATGTCAGCTCAGTCATGCAGGCCAAAACTCTTTCCCAGCATGATTCACATGGAGATCACAAGGCAAAGCTTTTTCAACAGTGGCCCAGATTCTCCTTCCATTTAGCATTTCCAAAGACTTGGTGGAATTAGAGCAACCAAGTGACAATCTGAATTAGAATAAATTTTGATCAAGAAACCAAATTAACACTGCAGAGGAATTCAAACTTTTTATCTGGATTTAAACCCTTTCCTCCTTTTCCCCATAAACACAACTTCATAGATTGTATGCTTTAAACAGACAGCAACCAAAGTAGTATCTATTCAAAAGACATGTTCCTAATCTGCCCCAGAGTCCTTTCCCTTTATATGGAGACAGCTACATTTACCTGACCTTAAACTATGAGTAAAACAGTAAAAAAAACAATCACTATACTGAGTTATAACAACAGGCTTCTTCTTGTATTTCCTGCTTAAAGAGTAAACCCATGTCAGAAAAAATACAATTTATATCTACTTACTGTCATTAGTATAATACGTAGATATGCTATGATTATATATCATAGTCTAACTGTGGTACTGGAAGAAAATGGTTAATATTCCTAAAAATCTTAAAATAATTAGTTTTCCTGAGAGCTTTCTGCAAAGCTTTAGCATTTGTTTATAGCTAAGTTATAAATACCTGTTATGAATTTAAAATATAATTGCTGCTGGTTTTTTTTTTAACTGAAATGAAAGGGAGAGCTGGAATATATATATATATACATATATTCATGGAGTCAGCTGTAAATTTCCTTCATGCACTGAAGCACACTGAAGTCTTGGCACAAGAAATAAGTTTATAACTGGAGTGAATGTGTTTACGAAGCTGTCAGCAGCCTGGTGCAATGGCTGAGATCTCAGCACCACGTGGATGTGATGCACACTATTAACTACTTCTGTCAAAGCATCTGGACTACTTTGATCTTGCAGCCATGTGGTTTAATACCTGAGAGCTGCAGAGATACCTGAGGGATCCTACAAGATGGTCTGAGTTCCAGCTCTGAAAAGACAAGGCACTGATCAAATTCAATGCAAACCTTGAACTGAGTGTGAGTCCCAGCCCAGCTTTCCTCCTCCCGTGCTTTGGTCTCCTTTGCACGCAGTCCCCATGCCCCAAATTGAAAGTTTAGGATTGTTTCCAGCTGTGTTGCTACAAGCTCCTAGGAACTGACTCAGGGTTACAGAAAGCAGATGCCTGGTAGCAAGGGATTAAGATTAATCAATGTTACAACACCTGGGTTTGTTCCTGTGTTTTTGTACATCCCCAGGTGTTTCCTTGGGTGCATCTTGCACCTTCATCCCTTGGTTATTTCACAAGGCACGATGTAGGATCAGAGCAAGTGTTTGTAGCAATATTTCACCTGTGCATGGTAGAGCCTTATCAGAGAAGACTTGTAATAAATTTGTTTTCTTATCATGATCTTGGCTTTTATAGGTAGCTTTTCTTCCCCTTCTACAATTAGACTCTGTCCCTAGATAGAGATAAAGATATTGCAAAAATATCTTGTTCCTGAAGGCTATTGAAGCATTCAGATGACAGCTTTAAAAAAAAAAGGCAAAATCAACTTGTGTAACAGAATCTATAGTCATTCTTATCCTGCTTTCATAGACCTGAGAACTATATTAGTGAGTTCCTCAGTATTTTGGCTAATATTTGCAGGAATAGATGGAGATTTTGTCTCTCTAGCTGAGAACCTCTTAAAGGATGGGTGTTCAACATTTCTGGAAGCCCAGACCTCCTTCAAGAGGTTTCATGATGCATAAAAATCACAAATAAGTTGAATTTCCTAATCTTCATCTAAGTAATTTCAGAACTGCATTCCCAGTCAAAGCAGAAAGACCATTGTGAGTTTTAACACTTACAAAGTAAATAGAATTACTTCATCTTTAAAACATTGTTTTGTAGTATTTGGGCCTCTGTATTTTTTGATCTCTTACGAAACTGTAAATAAAATATTGGAAGCAAATAAACTTGAGTTAAACTTTTCAAGGTGCTACGGTCTGTAACAATGATATTGTTAAAAAAAAAAATCTAAAACCAGCTGGTTTAATGTTCTCATATTTATGATGTTCAAAAGCCCAACATAAAATATACTTGATGTGAATGCATTCAATACCTTATGCATGAGTGGTTTTTGCTTTTTGTCCCAGAGCAGGGGAAAGATTTGTAAGATCTCATTACCAAGTGTAATTTGAAATGTGCTATCAAAATGAAGAACAAATAAATAAAGTGAAATATACCTGTGACTTATTTTATTTTTCCCAGGACCACTGGTTTTGTATTTCTGAACATTACCAGTCTGATTTTTGATTGTTTTCCAGGTAGGAGATTTCTGTGTATCCGTGGGCTGTGAGGGTCACCTCCTTGTACTTCATTTCTGCCAAATGATTAATGGTGACCACTTCTGGTGCTGAAGAGTGGACAAACCTGCACTGCTGCTGTTGTTCTTTTTCAAGATAAACAGCAGAATTCACATTCTCCATTCTGATGTATAAACAGATTTTTATGTGTCTATAGGTTATGTGTATGTTTGATATTTGGTTTAGTCAGCAGAAGTCCAGGTTCCTTTTTTGTTCCTGTCTGCCTTCCTTTCACATTCTATTTTTCTGACCTGCAACCCATTTTCTGTGCACGTTCTCTCATTTATGGATCATAGCAGCATTGCTTTTGAAATATCCTAATGTGGGGGAGTTTCCCATTTTGTCCAGCAGGCTCCTGTGCCTTTCACAGAATAGGAAGCTTTTCTCCTGCTCAAAAAAAAACCAAAAAAAATGGTGGGGAAAGATGCTTCAAGGGATTTACAACCCTATTTTTTAAGCCAGCAACAGTCATACTCCTTGCATGAAATTGAATGCATTAAAAACAGTCTGGGCCACATAAAACTTCTTTTCCCAGCAATGTTTTCTCAGATATCATAAAACATCTGACTGTGCAGGGCTTGGCAAGGCAGGGCAGTGCTTCCCTCAGCTGAGTGAGGCTGTGACCACATCCCCTGCCTGGCTGGTGCTGGGGCTGCCTGGGGCTGTGCCTGACCCAGGTGTGCCTGACACAGCTGGATCCCAAAATCCTTCCCCTGCATCCCACCTGCCTGGGTTCTGCTCCTTGCCTCACACTTAGAAAACTCTTTGGAGCTGGACCATATTTTATTTTGTTCCTCCTCAGGGGAGACACATGTTTTCTCCTCACTCTTCCAGTTTTTCTGGAACTAAGCCAATGGTATTTAACTTATTTTAGAAATGTCATCTGAATAGCTGGCAACACATCATTAATGTGAGACTAAATTAATGCCTAATATAAATCTGGTATTTTTTCCAGATTATTTTCTATAGCATTTTAAAGTGTTTATCAACTATTAAGCAGGAACACAGGCAAAATAAAAACAAGAAAAGAAACCCTGCAATGGCTCCTTAAAAGCTGTTTTTACAGACACAATATTTTAAATCACTTTTTCTCATTTTATAAAATGTAGAGAACACTGAATACTTACATCACAACTATTCATTTCTGAAGCAGAATCTTAAACCCCAACACTTCCCATCACAAGACAGTCTAGGGGTATAAGAGAGGTAAAATTTGTTAAAGGAGAGAATAAATTTTATATTAAGAGACATAAATCAGCAATAATAATTGGTGTTACAGAAAAATCCTTGTACCACAAACACCATGCCAGTGTCAGGACAGGTGCAGGACACTCAGTGCCATTGAGAGGAGGAATTCGGGGTGTGGTAAAGGAAGAAAGGGAATTCTTCCTGCTAACCTAGTAATTTCACAAAAATCTAATTCCACTCTGAAGTTTTAATTTAAAAGTCAATCATTTGCAGTACAGCCAGCAGAGGGAGTGTTTAAAGCGAAGGCTGGCACAGCAATTTCTGAAACTGCTCTGCCAAACAGGAATTGTTATTGTGGGAACTGCACCAGAACTTTTGGGGCAGCCCAGCCGTGACTTGTGAATTCATGCATGGACAAGGCAGGAGAGTCATGCCAAGGGGGAATTACTCAGAGTTCTTGCAGAAAAAAAACAATCAAAACAAAACCAAAACAACCAAAAAAACCCAAACCCCTCACAACCATTCCATCCCAGGAATACCCCATCCCTGAAGTGTCCAAGGCCAGGCTGGACTTGGCTTTGAGGAACCTGCCCCAGTGGAGGATGCCCCTGCCCATGGCAGGGGTGGAACGAGATGAGTTTGAACCCAGACGTTCTGTGGTTCCTCAGCATGATTCACTCAGCCCTTGGCAGGCTGTGGGGGTGTTTTTCAGGTGATCTGGCTGCTAGTTCAGACCCTGGGACCCGCTGGGGTGTGTGCAGTGACCCGGGTTCGCTGCAGCTGCCCGAGCATGTCTGCAGGGCCAGAAGGGCGAGGGAGTGCACCCAGGGGAAATCCTTGTTCTGTGCCCAGGGCATGGCCATGCCCATGCAGAGCTGGGTTTTCAGGGCTGTCTCCATTCCTGCTCAGATGTCTCTGTCAGTGAGGGCTGCATGGAGGCATAAGCAGCATCTCCAAAACCCTACAGAGAGCTGTGAGTCCCCCTGGAAATGGTGCAGGGTTATACCTGAAGAAGTGAGGCTATTTCTGCCCTTGTGCTGTGGCATCTCTACTCTTTTAATGGTGCAAAAGGTAACCCACTGTAAGAAAAAAGGCAATTTTTACAGCCCTTGTACACCCTGTTCCCGATGCTGGGAGGAGATGACCTTTCCAAGAGCCCCACTGGCAAAGCAGCCCTGACACTCTGCTCTGGGCTAGTGGGAGCCAGGGTTCCATGGCACAGCCAGCAGCTGGGGTTGGGTTATTTGAGTTAAAATTTGAATTATTTGAGGTTACTGGGCTATCAGATGAGTTACCTTCGGTGATTTTCACACCCAGCCACATGCTCCATGCTGCCTCAGTCGCAGCCTCTGCCACAAACGCGCTGTGGGTTAGGGAGCACTGCAAAGCCAGAACAGCTCAGCAAACAGCAGTGCACATTTAGTGCGACTCTATCTATTTATAAAGGGTTTTTTCCTCCCCAAAAAATCCTATGCTGAGGAGCATGAAAAGGCAGGAGTCAGACATGCCTCCTCATCTCCCTGTGCAGCTGGAGAGGCTCAGCCTGAGGGGTCAGAGCCTGCACCCAGAGCTGGGGCTCCAAAAACCCCTGAAAAAAAAAAATCCTGCAAAAAAAACCCTCCAAAACTCCCAATTTCCTTTTGCATTCCTATTTTTCATCACCAGTTCCCCTGCACAAGTGCAACAGAGCTTCCCAGCTTTTCCAAATACCATACCATTGCAAATGCTGGTTTTGGTGGTCTGTGTGGACAGTCAAGGGAGGGAGGATGCCCCTTGTTGTTTCACAGTCACAGCAATGCCCTGGAGGCACAGTCTCAGCCTGAATTGAGCACAAAGAATCAACTTCATTTTAGTTGTTTCGTTCAGGTCCTGTATGATCTGCTGAAATACCAGGTGGTCAATCAGAGATCAGCTATTGCACATTTGTATTTCATGTTCAGCCCCAGAGTGGTGGCCTACTGACAGGACATCTGGAATGCAAAGGGTCTCTTTGGACACAGACACAGATTTAACTGCGTGTTGGCCAACTCCACAGAAGAATTATGAAAAATCAAAAACAGGGGTACAAATGTGAGAAAAACCTGTGGAATTACATATCTCACCATGAGTGACATGGTGAGGCTGGTGAAATAGAGCTTTCAGCCTGAGCCAATGTATATTTTTCAGCACACTCTCAGAAACTACTTGCTATAAATTATACTTGTGCATATGTATATACATACACACACATATACATTTAAATTGCCATAGTACAAGCCTAGAACCACTTCATTAAAAATTATAGGCTGGCTCTAGATTTATAATAGTCCTTTTAGTCAGGCTAAAATGATGATACTGCCATGAATTTGGACTCAGGCCTTTTATTTTTTTAAGTGTCATCATCTTGGCCTCTTGGGCTGGTAATTTTCTCACTTGAGTTTCCAAGGAAGTACCCAAGTTTAAGCAAGATCTGCTTGGGCATATTCATACATTTACTTCATCAGCCACTTATGCAATCTCTTTGGGCCTTCACTCCAAAATGCAAATCCCAATTCTAACTTACTCTTTAGTAAGTTTGAATTTCTCACTTTGAAATGCAACTTTAGCTTGAGCTCTCCTGCTCACACCAGTATCTCCCGAGCTGTAAAAAGCTGTTTGCATGTTAATGCAGCAGAGCCAACACAGCTGGGTGCTCTTCCCCCTAAAACCTCCTCAACAGGCTGCAGTGGGTTAAGGGCAGCAGAGTTAACTCAGCACCTTTTTGTCCCAGCTGACAGCAGTCACCACACTGTTCTTGCAAACATCCAACAACTCCCCTTGACCCAGACTCAGTTCCCAAAGCTGGAGCTGGGAGCAAAACCAACACTCTTTCCACTTCCAAATCAATCAGGGCACAGGAATCGTTAAAAGCTAATCTGTGCCAGGACCCATAACAAAATGCTGAAGTAATTTATTTTCCAGATGAATAACAAGTTAAAGAGAAGGTGAATTTCCTGTTAATACTTCATCTTTGCCCAAGGGCTGTCTCAAGAACCAGGGGATCTTTTCTGTGTGGGAAGGAGGGCATCGAGCCTGGGGAGAAGAGAGTTTAAAAAGCAACCAAGGGTGGAAGATCAACCAATTTTGTGCCTCCACCAGGCCTGGAGGCAGAAGCTCTCCCCTGGGCAGAGGTGGCTGTTGGATCCAGGTGGGGCAGGGAAATTCCACCCCTTCTGTCACTCCCCCAAGCCTGGACACAGGCCAGCTTTTCAGACACCATCAAGGCCAAGCAATGGAGGCATTTCCTTGTTATTATTAGGGCCTGCAGGAAGAGATTGTGAATGTAGCCAGAGATGGTTTGGCAGCCTGGGGAGCCCCTTTGCTGCTGGGATTCAGTAACCCCTCAGGGGTTGCACCAATCCATACGATCTCTGTCTCCTGTGCAAGGCATTGCAGAATGCAGAGGTTCACCACAGCAGCAGCAGTGTTTATTCAGGCAAGGATTTTAGGACACAAACACAGCAGCAGCCAGTGGGCTGGCACCAGGACAGGCACTGGCTCTAACTGAGCAGGTTTGCTCTTTTCTTCCCTGACAAGGCTCCTACAACACCAAGCTGCTGCAGGTTTGGGAGCATGGAGAGTCCTCTGAAAATATTACACTTCTCACAGCTGAGAAGACTTAGCTATTTATTAAGGAAGAATTTAGATGGCTGACATATTGTCATTTTAGGACCTTAACAAGAGTCTGCTGAACCCAACAGAGAGACTGACATTGTCCTGAGGAGCTCTGGGACCACAGCTGACAGAGAGGGAACCCCAAGAGCCCAACAGCAGGAGCTGCTGCCCCAGCCAGAGGGTCTGAGAGCATCTCTCAAGCTGTGTCAGTGAGGTTTGAACAGGGATACACCTAACTCAGAAAACTTTTGCCCACATTATTGTAGCTGCTTCACCTAATGTGCTGGTGAAGGAAACCCTGACACCAGAGCAAGAAGAGCAGTGACTGGCACAAACAAACAGGGAATTTAAGTGGGAGTTTACCTTATTTTTCTGAATAGGCAAACTGAACACACACAGTTAAGGTCAAAACTTTTAGAGCCGGTGCTTTCCCCAGTATCACTAAAATACTTAGCCAAGGAGGGAAAAACACTGCTGATTATCTGCTCCACCCCTCCACTCAACTTGTTTCCCTTTCCCTGAAATGTTTGAAAATAAACGAGCCAGTGTGGTTTCACCAGAGTGCTTCGAATATGAAACAATCTGCTGCTCACAGCTAATAAGGAAGGAGCCTGGCCAAAAAACCCTGCCTGCTTATTGACAGCCCTGCCCTCGTGGAGCCAGGAGGTAGCAGCACTGAACAGAAATCTCCAGAAATGTTGGGAACTGTGCAAATCAGGACTGTTCTGACCTTTGGCAAAGCCTTGTTGGCGGTATCCAGACCTCACCTGCCAAAAACAAACCCCTCACAACCGAGGAAAAGACTACTTTAACGCACTTTGAAGTATCCCATGATTCTGAGGTTTTGTTTGCCTTGGGTGTAGAGAGTTTCAGTTCTGTTTTCTCTCTGGTCTTCCTTGAGCAGTAATCATGAAATGAAACAAGTCCAGCTGGGCAAGTTTGCCTGGTTTATAACTCTTTTACAGCCTTTATCAGGACTAACAAGATATGCTAAAATGTTGCAAACAGCACACAGCCAGAGGAATCTTGCTCCTGGCGCTACATTCTTTAAAAAACTGTTATTCCACGAAATGCCTGAAATTTCAGCCTTTTTTCATAGCTGGGATTTAATGTCTCAGGTATTTAGTATGTTTGCATGCAGCACAGCATGCAGGGCTGGAAATGCAGGCCCTGGGTAAAAGAAAACGTCTCTTTTTCCCAGCCTGGTCTGTTTTAACTCTGCAGAGGTGCCAGCCTGTCTGTGTTCCATCGCCTCACTGGAGACATGTCATGCAGACATGTCACCACTCCGTTGGACTTGTCCAGATTTGTCTTTCTTTCTCTGTTATTTCTCCTGCCCTTGTTTCTTTAGACATTTGTTTTCTTTGGAAGTACTTTCATGGTGGCAGCCACAGGTGAAGGGGAGGTTCAAACTGAGGGTGACAGGGATTTCTCTGGGGTCTTTGCAATAAAGTCGTGCAATGGTGTGTTCCTGCTAGATGCTAAAGAGGTATGTATTTAAAGTGTTTTGTGAACTATTTATATAACTAATAATCTCACCATAAAGAAGGCCATAAGTGAATTGAGAGGCACAAGTATAAGGCATTTGTGGATTCTCAGTCTCACTGATAAAGCAAATAATCTGGGTTTGCACTGTTAATACCATTTCAGGCTTTCTTATCAGAAACTTTTTTCCCCCAGAATATTTTCACAGGGAAAAAACTACAGAAATGTCAGTGCCATGCTCAGCAGCAGTGCTTTCCAACTTGCAAAGAATTTTGCTTTTCTTTGGTCACGTATTTTAATTTGGAAATGAAGAATGAGGGACATTTGCACTCTCAGTACTTAGGTTTGGTCCTTGCAAGGTATCACCAGCATGACTCTCAAGCCCATGCTCCCTGCTGAGGTGTGTAGGGAGGAAGGATCCAGATGCCCAGATCCCATCTGAGCTGCCTCTCTCTGCTTTTCACCACAGACCAACTTTGTTTATGTGAAACTTTGTGTTTACATAACAATTTGAGTTTACACACAAATATTTTCCATGGTGCAGCAAGCCAAACACATTACCTAACAACATTGTCCAGCCATCTGCAAATATTTTGAAGCCTGAAAAATATTTGCTCATTTCGAGTTCAAGTTTAGACCATACTCACCAAGAAAAGTCAGGTGAGGCTTTTCAGCATGGTGACATCTTCCTTTTCTTCCCTTACACAAACAGGAATGCTCATTCCAATTAATGCAGTCTTCGGAGAAAAATAAAATCTGTATGTGAAATCTAATAGCACAGGTAGATCTGCAGGGATTAACAATATGAAAGAGAACATTGTCAAGCATGTAATGATATTTTTTTGTATGTCTGCCACAGTTAATGCTTTTAATTGTATTTTCCACTTTAATTCTAGTAGCCAAAGGCACGATACACAAGGCAAATAAATGACAGGATCATTGGCATGTCCAAGTGCTTCTTCTCCATGTAAATAAGGCAGACAGCAAATATGAGTTGAGAAAGGAGATTGCTGTGTTGCAGCTTAATTCACTCAAGATTTCATCAAAATCAATTTTACACTGCAGGATGGAAAAACGGGTCTGGGAAACGCATTGGAAATGTCAGGAGGGAAGGGAGCCAAGGAATCTCCCTCCCACAGAATCTCCCTCCCACGTTAACGTTTCACACAAGTGTGAGAAAGCTTTGTCAGCAGAGGGATGTGGAGAAAACGGATCAGACAGAGCAAGACTGCTGGGTGCAGCTCTCCATTCCCTGCGTGCCTGAGGTGCTTTACTCAGAGATTTTTCTGTGATTACAGGCAAAGGCTTTTGAAACAGAAAGGCATTCCTACCAACCTGACTGCAGCAACAGATTTCATTATCCCTGCCAGCTGGGTTTTTTCAAGACATCAGCCCTGCAAGCACAGGGGAGGTGAACTATCTCAGTGCTTCCATCACTGCTGCTCAGCTTGTTCTAATGTACCCAGGGAGCTGCAAAGAAATGATTTTGACTGTAAGCCCTTGAGGGCTAAGATTATCTTTATGGGCTTAGACAAATACACAAACACATTACCAGAGCTTTGTTTTTAAGTCCATCAGAGCTGAAAGGTGAAATACGTAAAAAGACAAGTACTTTTCCTTGACTTGAAGGTTTTCTCCTGTTTCATCTACAAGTCCAGCCAGAGTAAATAATTTCTAAACTGCAAATAGTCATTAAACATAAAACTCAAGGAACCCTTGGTAACCCTTCACCTGTTTTTTAAAGCATTTTTTTTATAACTATAAAGGAAAGCATGTAGGCATTTGGCTTCTTCACAGATTATTTGGCCATCTAAACTAACAGAACCCTGCAGTGATACAGTTGATCACATCCAGTTTTGGAAAGCCACACTGTGTTAAGAAGAGTATTTCCAGGCTGTGAGCCATAAAATGAGCCTGTTCCTGCTGCAGTTCATGAGGCTTTTGCTGTGAATTGTAACGAGGGCAGGCCCACATCCAATGCAAGGTCCCAAAGACACTCACACATATTTCATACCAAAAACCATCAGCTGTGAAAACAAAACATTTGGTGGAACTCCAGTCAGGGAGCAAACTGCCAAAAGAAATTATTCTCTGCTTACATGGAGCTGTTTGCATTTCTTGTTTTGCTCCATGGGCTGGCCCAGGGCAGGGCAGGTGAGTGCAGCTTCCTGGGAGGCAGTGGGAGCAAAGGGCTGAGTGACAGAACAGAGACCCTTTGCAGTGTCCACCAGCCATTTCCTTGGCTTTGCTGCAGGGTAAGGTTGCACCCTAACATTGCAGTGCTTGTTCCAATAGACCCCTCACTGTATTCCTGAAGGGCATGATATTTTCCCCCAATAATCCCATTATCTGGGTGGATTCCCAGCACAATTTATGCCTCTGGGCATCTTGCAGGAATCACTCCTGTCCCTGATATCTCAGGGCAGAGCTCTGTGGCGACTTCATCACCTGCACATTTACAATTTCCAGCTCAGGTCAGTGTCACACCAAGCACTTATTTACAGTCAAAAAGGAGGTGTTAGAAGGGATGGAAGGCAGATGTGTTTATCCAGTACCAGTGATTTCATAACAAGAAAGTCACAGCAAGTCATGACTGGATTATCTCAGCTGCCAGCAGCACAGCCCAAGCTGAGTTCCCTCCACTCAGCATGCTCACAGCACTGAACTGAGCCACAGCAAGACTAAACTGCCATGTCTAGGAAGAAATGCTTCAGAAACATATATATACATATGTGTGTGTGTGTGTATATATATATACATATATAAGTTGGTTTTTTTTTGCCCTTTGAAAACTGGATTTCAAAAGTAGATATCACATACCTTAAAAACATTTGTGCTCCTTGGGGCACAAAGGTTCAGTCTGTGAAAGCATTCAGCTCCATGATATAACCACTGGGTGACCTTTTTGCTGGTGCTGCCTGTGTCAGGATAAAGCACAAATCCTTCTGCAGCTACACAGATCTGTCAGCATTGATAGTGCTGGCTGAACAAGTAGTATCTTAATCTGAGCACAACCTAAAGCCTTTCTATTTACTCCAGCTAAAGCTTCCTGCACCTCAACATTTCTGCTCAGAAGATAAATATCTTGTCTAGCATCACCCAACTCTTACACCCTGTTTATTTTCTCTTACCTTTACAAGACTTTTGCACTCAGCTGTAACAGCCAAGACTCCACCAAAATGCAGAAATTAGGTGAGAAACTTTGGAAGCCAGGTTGGATATTACACCTTCTACCGACATAAAGCTGAGAAAAAGAAAGAGGTGAATACAAGATGTTTTACAAGAACTGCAAATTCTCCAGGTCAGTGTAAATACACATTAAACATACATCAAACCTCTGCTGCAGGCTGTCAGAAACAGCAAAGTAACCTGACAAGAATTTTGGAGAGCTACATGCTTACCAAACTGAGCAGTATTTGCTTGAAAAATGAACATTCTCCACATTAAGAAAGTGTAGTAGCATGTGTCATACAGGCAAAACACATATTTGTCTCAACTACAGCCTAAGTCCATCTGGGGATGAATGTCATCAGAGAATTTAAAGCACAATAAATCAAAGTTTTGCTAATTGCACCAAACCAGGATTACCATCCACTTGGAGGAATTAGATCTGTAATATATACATATATTTGAATGTCTGTGTGCAGGTTTAGGTAGGAGTGTGCATTCATTCACAGAATAGAATAGAATAGATCTCTACATCCATACAGATATGGAGACTGCAGGTCTGGAGCAGCATCATGTTCAAGGATTATCTGATTAGTGGGGTTTTTAAGCAGTCTGCTTCTCAATACATTCCTTCCCTGTGAAAAGAAAGCAGAGGTTTGTCCATGCTTCAATAATTCAGTCCTAAAAGACAATTCCCACAAAGTGCTCTTTCAGGCATGAATTCTTCACAATCCTTCTGTGAGGGATTGGGTTCTGGGATTTCTTCCACCTGATGATGGTCTCCTTGAAGACAGGGACACAGCATGGAAGAAAAGCTGAATAATGTGGCTAAAGTCAGAGGAGAAACCTGACAAAGAGGCCAGCCTAGCTCTCAGGAGCTCTGAGCTGGCAGCTCTGCCTTGGGTCACATCTCCATCAGTTTGATGCAGTCTACAGAAACACCTCCTCAGAAACAGGTGAATAATCAAGCACAAAATCACAAATGTTTGCTTCTTAAAAAAAAAAAAGTTAAGTTTCCAGCCCTAAAAACTCCAGTAAGAAGTTCAGAGCTCAGAAAAACCCAAAAGCAAGGGTAAGGAGCACCAGATGTGCTCTCTTCAGACCTGTGGGGACCTGTCAGCCTGCAGCGCTGAGGAGTGCGCAGCCATTCAGCCTTCAGCCAGACTTCCCAAGAAATCATGAGGTCAGAGGGAACTTTTTTCCCTTTCCATGCACTCCATCATGAGCAGTGACAAGAGCTCTGGGCCTGTGGAGGCTGTTACAGCAGGGCTGGCTCAAAGGAGGGGCATGAACAGAACCAATAACTCACAAATTTCTATCTAGTGGGACACAGGAAAGCACCACACTGCAGACACATGTCCCAGTTGTTGCATTCTTGCAAGACATCACTAAACTTAGTGCATCTCATGACTAAACTTAGAGCATCACTGAACTGCTTTGTTCACGTGAAAATCTGGAGTTAAAACCACTATGTGACCTCAAGGAGCGCACACAGCCTAAGTCAGGCCCACAGGAAGTCAGGATTACAAACAAGGAATGCAACCTACCCTTCAGGCCCCTCTTTTGATTTGCAAAGTGCAAATGAAGCACAAGTGATTGGTTTTTTCCTACAAATCTTGCCTCTGGAACATTTTTTAAATTTGGGGAGTTTCCTGTATTGCATTTTAAGAACCATACTCTGGAGACCCTGGCAGTCAGCTGGCTGCAATATTGCCTCTCTCTGATTGAAGGGAAGACTTGCAAGAGGAGGAGAGAGAGAGTTTATTAAACCTATTTTGATGTGCAACAGGTTCTTTTCTGAGTAAGGCAATGATGGCTCTGTGAATCAATGCCTCTAACCTTCAAAAAGATTCCGTTTTGAAGAAAACTTCTAACACAAAGAAACTTAAAATCTAAAGCTCAGTAGTTGCATCCAGCTTCTCTGAGTTGTTTTTCCTTGTGGCAGACCCAGCATCAAAATTCCCAAAGGCAGCAGAATCAACCTGATTCCTGCAAGTCTGGTGCTGTTCTTGTTCTTCCTGCAATGTTGTTTTTAATGCTGGGAAACAGAGACCAGCCTCAGGGACGTATTTAACAGAGAGGGAGCATTGCTGATTCATACTCAGACTTGAATCTGGGCTGGCATCAGCACTGGTCCTATTGGGATGGGAGCACTCAGTGGGGCAGGAAAGCTGGCACTGGTTTGTGGAGAGAAGGGGATTCCTGTGTCAGCTTAGGCAGATGCAGCATCAAAACCCACCTCAGGAGCTTCAATTCTGTAATACTGGGGCTTGGCTCAGCTCTTTCAAAACAAAAAAAAGTGCCTCCTCAGCAGGCTGGAAGTGGTGCTTGGAAAGGGAGTTTGGACAAACCCTGTGTTCACATCTGCTTTTCTTTGTGGACTATGGAAGATAGAACTATGAAAGATAGAAAAACAGAAATATGAAAGATACATTGCAGTAGGACCCACATGATGATCTTTAAATACTTATAGTGTAGCTAAAGCTGATAGATTAGGAAATACTTATAGTGTATCGTAATTAAGAAATAGCATCTGATTGTGATAGCATGAATTATAACATCTGTATTGTCTCACCCTTCTCATAAGACTAAAAATAGAATAAAAGTTTTTTAAACGCCTCTCAATTATCCCATCTCTAAGTTTAAAAAAAAAAAAAAATCCAAGATTTCTTCATACTAAAAAATGTCCTCCTACCAGTTTCCATCTCCTGCTGCTGTAGCCCTCCCCCAGACCCCAATCCTATCCCCGGATTAACTCAGATATGCTGAATTCTTTGTGGGAATCTTCAAAGGGCTTTAATGCTTTGTCCTGCTAATGATTTGCAAGCATATTATCACAGCAATCTCTGCTATCCCCATGCAGCTATTGTGTTCCCTGGAGAATAAACTGCCTGTGTAGCCATGCAAGGCAAGCACAAGAAAACAAACAGATTACTACTATAAATATTCAGGACATAATCTGATTTGCCATACCCGAACACAACCGTTTGCAGGACTGCCTGTAATTATTTCTGAAAGAATTTGATTCACTCTCAATGTGGCCACAGGTGGCAAATCCGAGCCTGCAGGAGGCATGGCAGCCTGGGGAGAGCTGCTGTGCATCTCCAGTTACAGCCTCAAGTGACCCTGAAACAATTTCTGAGCAAGGAAATAGGAAATGAACATAATAAATAGGCTATGTATGGGCTATTAAAAATATTTCTAACTTCCTCCCTGTTTATATCTTGCAAGGACAACAAACTTGCAGTTTCATAACCAAAAGGGCTAAAAAGAGTCTCACTAAATTAGCATCCCTTGCTTGTGGACACTTTATAAGTTTTAAGTAATAGAAACTAAACAGCACCTCTTCCATGTGACAGAGGAGCAGTGGTGGTAAATGTTTCTTATGATGCACATTGAAGAAAAGAAAATAAAGTTGAGCTGAGCACTCTTTGGGTATTCGCTGCCAACAACTCTTGGGCAATCCTAATAGCCTCTCTGTCTGGACAGCACCTCTTCTGCTATCCTGAATTTAAATAAAATCTGCATATCTATCAGCAATCAGCAGAACAGAAGCACTGGCAAACCTCGATGAGCTCTACAGCAGCCTCACTGTCAAATAAAGATTGCAATTTCACTCTCCGTTCTCCTGTTTCAGGTGGTGGCAGTGAGTTCAAAGGTCTGATGTTGAAAATGCACATCTCAGGACATCCACAGCCAAACCAGAGGTGCTTCCCCAGGTCCACTTTGAGGCTCCCTGAAGGATCTGTGCTCCCTGCAGAAGGCAGATGTCCTTTACACAACTGGGTGCTGGCAGGGAGTGACAGCAGCACATTTTGTACCCCTGGGTGGGAAGCTGAGGCGGACAGAGGTGTGTGAGGGGCTGACCTATTTTCCCAGCCTGTTGACTTACAGGCAGCTCAGGCCACAGCCTTGGATGGGATTTCTCACCCTGCCCTGCACCTCCTCACCTCTGAGGGAGGTCAGCAAAACCCTCCATGAGACCACACCGCAAACCTGTCTGGGGAAATGAATTTTTCTTTCAAACACGGTGAAAAGAAGTGGGAGCTGTAAATGGATATTGCCACTGGGGTGGCCAAACCACAGTTTAGGGGAGCTGCTGGTGATTTCTCCCCAGCTGTGTTTGGCACAGGCTATCCTGGTGCCTGGAAATCACTTCAAGGTGTGGCCACACAGAAACTGAAAGCATGGTCAGTGGAGGCTCTGTGGGCCTTAGAGGACCTTGCAGCTAAACATTAAGCTGCTTGTAACAAAGAAAAGGAAAACAAAACCAGTTATAATCTCACTGGAGGAAATAAGCATTGTGTTTCGCATAAATAGTGTTTTTTCCCCAAAATTGGTGGTTTGTAACAGGTAGAATTTTCCCTACTAATCTCTTTAACAGGAAAGTTTCAGCAGCCTGAAAAGCACTCATTAAAAATTTATGGGAGGGGTCATGAGAAAGCCATTCATTACTCTTTTCCTTCAAACTATCAATTTAAAAGAAACCAGTGCCTGAAGATGAGCCAGATCCAACCTCTGCACTGACAAAAACACTCAGGAATGGCTAAGGCTGATGATGGATGGGCAGCTGAGCCCTCCTCATGGCCAGGGAAGGGTCATCCTCACCCTGGCACTGGCTCCCACCCCTCCTGCACTGTCCTGGGCTTGTGGGCTCTTCACTGAGCCAGTCCTTGTTGCCAGCCCAGTAGAGAATTTCCCAGTGTTTTGTGGGAATAATGAGCTGTACTGGCTCTGATGAGCACCAGAGCTGATCCAAGGTAAGCAGCAAGACCATGGAGCCAGGAACAAGATGGGAAGAAGACAGAAGTGGAGCTTCTTTCCTTTGAGAAGGGGTGAGCACACCTAACACCTCACTGCATCTCCTAATCATCTCTCCCCATTTGTGCTTTGCCTGGATAGATGGGCATCAGATCCTACCCAATTATCACATCCTGCTCCTGCCACTGACACCAACAGAGGGGGGAAAGTTATTTTTGTGAAGCCATATCATCATCTCCTGGTGTTTTCCTTTCACAGGACTGCATCTGCATCATTAAGGTCCATTTTTTAAAATTAAGCCCTTGAGTGACACACCAGAACAATCTCTGTGCTGGGAATGGCTCTCTGCTGCCAATGTGATATTTCTTCTTTAGGTGATTAAGGACCTAATTGTCCCAAATATGTTACTGGACAGGAGCCTTAGAGAAGACAAGGAGATTAAGTTCACCTGGCTCCAAAAGTTATAAAAAGGGACATATTATTTTAAGCCAAGGCAAGTCCCATGGTAATTATTTTAATTAAGTCAGTCATGGAGGTATTTTTACAATCTAACTGTGCTGAAGAACTATTTTAGTGGCTGATTGCAGTCATCAATTATTTTTCAAGTGCCCTTTGGTGATAATTCTTCCTAATTAGTCAGAAATTACTTTTGCATTTATTCTTTTAATGTAAACATTCTGTTGCAACAGTTCCAATTTTTTCTTATCCCAAACCCCACAAATCCTTAACCAGCTTAACCAGTATATACCCAAATCCCAGAATTATCCAGGAGATTAAAGAAGTGCAAAATCATACCCAGTCAGGTAATATTGGGATGAAACATAGACCTCAAGCTGTACTCCTGCATAAATATTTATGTCCATGTAGCTTTAATAGGGGCCCAAACATCTTCCCCAGCCTTCTCCATGGCAATCTCATGCACCGATTCTGCCAAAACAAGTTTCCAGCACTCATCGTTAAAAAGTTCTGGAATTATTTTACTATTGCAAAATACTTCACAGGCAAGTCTGGATATTAACATACTTTAATATCTGGGCTTATGTTTGAACCCCCAGCACATACTTTTGCTCTATTTCCAGTCTTTCCTCCTTCACCAAAAAATCTGGTGTTTTTTTTTCTTTTTTCTTTTCCTTATTACATCTACAAATCTTTATAAACTTGAAAAAGGTCACCTATATCAAGATGATGGCATCATATGGACATTTTCTTTGGCAGAAAAACTGTTTTAAGTGTTTCCTTCTGTTCTTCTCTGCCCTTATGCAGTTTGTTGTGATTTTAGCTGTGTCCCTGTGGAGGTTTGGTGTTGCTGCAGTGGAAAAAATTCACAGAAAACTCAGAATCAACACAAACATTTTAAAAAGTGGGGGATTTACCCTTCCTCTGTGACCTATCTTTGCACAGTGGCCACAGTGGTCCAGCCCAGGACGGGCAGGCCATGCTCTGCAAAGGACACCTTGGGAAAAGTGGTGCAGGGAGCTCGGGGGACTCAAGGCTTGCCTGGCTCCTCTGCAGACATGGGGACAGAGGGGATTTGCAAAGCTTCAGACCCACTGCAGGACCCTTGAGCTCACCCTTCGTGCCACCTCTCCCTCCCTGGTCATATCTCCTTTTCCCAGTTCAGAAACTGTGGCTACACCAAGGAGAATGCAGAATTTGAGGGGTTTGTGTTTCCAGCTGTAGAAAGTCCCAACAACCCTCAAAGTCCACCTGGAATCCCCATCCAAAGGGAGGGATTCCTGAATCCAGTGCACTCTGATCTGAGGAGACACCTGGAACAAAGGATGACACTTTGATAAGCTTCAAAGCACCTCGGTGCAATCTCATTCCTTCCAAGTGTTGACATCTTTTATTTTCAGATGGCATTCATTTGCATTGCCTGAACCACCTTTCTGGTTAATGGATTACTTAAAAAGTCTGTGACCAGAGCACCACTGCTGTGGTGGTGTTCAGACAAATTAGAGTAATGAGTGAACAAAGTTGGAAACAAGTTGGGAACGTTTTGACTGCTAAGATATGAAAAAGTCTCCAGGGTTTGTTTGGTGGAGTAGTCATGTATGAGGTTACATCTTAGGGCTAGCTAAAAATTAATGGAAAAAGACAAGTGGTTACTCAGAATGAGCAAATTGATTGCTGTGTAGCAATCACTAGCTCTTAAACCAGTGAGGGTTTTTTTTAAACAAATGTTATGTTCTCTGCTTTAAGATTTTTTGTATTATTTATTGTCAGGAGCCTTTTCCAACTTCCTTTCCAAGTAAACAAGAAAATCTGCTTCAAAGAGCCCAGGGAAGTGTTTGTGATATGATTTTTGCTAATCAGGGTTAGCTTTGAGTTTAAGTTGAAAATTAGTGAGAAAAAGCAAAAAAATCTCAGTCCAAGAGTAAATATACTGCAGCTCGATGAAGTACGCTGCAGTTTGCTTTCAGTTAAATATTGTTATAGTTATAAATGTCTTTTTTCAGTTAAATATTACACAACTTCGGAGTAGGAATGATGAAACTGAAATGCATTCTGACCCAGGAGACTGCTTTGCTTTCTATTCTTCCTTGAGCTCTTTCTGTTTACTGAGTTTTAGTGCTATACAAGCACAAGAAAACATCTTGCATCTAGCAAAATTTGCCATCTGTTATCAGCTCCATATCAATTCAGTATCTGTTCTTGTGGCAAACTGGCCCAGAGCTGTTTCAATGCTCTCTTTGGCAGTAGCTATGGGAAATTTCTGCTCCCTGCCCTATAATCACCCATTTTCAGGACAGAAGGCAAATGCCTTCACAGTTAGGTGTCACTGAAAATACCAGCTGGTCACCAAATATGCAGATACACAAAATTCTAATATAATGCCTGCAACTGATATTTATACAGTACCTTTATAACATAAAGCTCATGTATTGTTTATCACCACCCTGGATGTGACTGGCATATTCACCATAGCCAAGGTCTCCTTCCAGCTTTGCTCCAACTAACTGATAACCAAGCAATCTCCACCAGGAATTCAAGTTCCTCCTGTCCTGCAGGGGTTCCACTGACCTGTGTTTCCCACTCACAAGCCTCTGGACAGCCTGGCTAACCCTGACTCACCTGGCTAGTCCCTGAACCAGCCCCCCTGAATTCACAGCTGTCAATCTGAAAAGAACCACATTTAAGGTGGTGCAGATACTCCCACACTGAAGGATTTAAAAGTGTTTCTTGTGTGAAAGTCACTGCATACCACTCCCAGAAATTCCCTCCACATCCATCACTCAGGGTAAAATAGCCCCAGTATTCATGGCTGCATTCTCTTCTTGTTATTCTCTATTTTTTACACTAATCATAGAGATGGAAGACTGAGCCAAGGAGTTTTTCTGGCTACTGGCATGAAGTCTTTCAATAGACATAAATGAAACAGTGGAAGAATGTTTGTGTAGTAGCATGTAGAGTGAAATATGCAGCACTTGCTCAATCATCCAGGAGCTGGATCCACATGCTATAGATCAGAGTCCACGATGTTTCCCAGGGTCTGTGCCACTCCTCAGAACAAAGCAGCCACCAGACAGTCCCAAAGCATCCCCAGCAGCAGAGCACAGAGTAAATAAGCCCAGAAAGTGGAGACACAGCAATGGGTATCACCTTTTATGTTACAGTGATGCTCTTGTAGCTGCAGACACAGACAAAGCTCTTCCCCACTGCCATTACTCTGCTCTCATGAGGGCTGTGCTGATAGAAATGCAAAATCCAATCCACATAACCTCAACCCAGATTAAACATGTTGTAGTTGAAACCAAACTGTGACAGCAGGAAAACAGACTTTTCTGGACATAATTGAGAACTTGATTCACTCCATGTTTTTTTCAATGGCAAGAGAAGACACAGCCCTGGTTTGCCAGGAAGAGGGAAAAGGCTTCTTGGAAGCACAAATCATCCCCACCTGCTCCTCCCCAGTTCCTCTGCATCCACAGCATTTTGCTGCCAGCTGGGAGAGCCCATCTGAGAAGCGCCCTGGACATGTTGCCAGCAGCACAGAGGACTATGAATGGCAGATTCCCTCAGCAAGGAAACACAAATTTCCTTTATTTCTCTACCTATAGCCTTGTTACTGATTTCAGTATGTCCCAGGAAGAATCTGTAACCCAGATGAAGATAGACAGGTATGTGACAGATGCTTTGCTGAGAAGAAGCCTCAAAAAAAAGGTAATTTCTCTGCATACACAACTGGCGCCTAGAGAGAAATATTTGTCTTCCATTTTTAGTGGAGTTTAAAAGCACTTACCTATGGTAAAGAAAATCAAATTTCATGCTTCAAGGCTTAAGTTGATTGCATAGCAAGGCTTTGCTGTGTGCCAGGGACAATTCTTCCTCTCTGAAATGTTGTGGAGGCAGATGGATGTGTTATGGATCTCTTCCCAGCTCCCTCCAGAGCTGAGATTGCAATGAACCTATTTCAACATTATCACTTTGTTAGTGTAACACAGAAAAAGACTTAAGAGGATCTATAAATATTCCCTTTGCTCCCCTAGCCAGGGAGCATCATCTATGCTTCACACAAGGCTGGTTGTGTCACAAGGGAACAGCCACAAGGCCAGGTCCAGCTTTGGAATCTGCAGTTGAAAGGAGTTGCTGCTACTTCAGGGATCTCTGGGGAATACAGGAAAGCAGATCCATGTGTCCTTGCAATGAATACATACATTGTTGCAATGATAAAGTCCTTTCCATTATTCCAAAATGACAGATTTAGAAACTTTTCTTTAACCAAAACCTGTCACTCTAAGACAAACAGAAATGTTGAAATGTGAGACCTTTCTGTCAAACAGAAACTCTCTGTTGTGGCATTTACATATCATAGTTAAAGCAATGACACAGAAATGATTTATGTTTAAAAACCCCCACTGTGGGAAGGAATCTTGAGTCAGGGCACCTTAGTGAAACCAGCTGTATTCATTCAGTGGGTAACACGTGGGTGCTTTCCTGGGATGTGCCTCATGACAATATCTGGTGCTTGAAAGTTAAAGAAGTTCTGGTGTTAGGACAAGTGGGAATGGCTCCAGACTCAAAGAGGACAGAATTAGATGGGATATTGGGAAGAAATTCTTCCCTGTGAGGGTGATGAGGCCCTGGCACAGGGTGCCCACAGAAGCTCTGGCTGCCCCATCACTGGGAGTGTCCAAGGACAGGATGGATAGGGCTTTGTAACAACCTGGGGTAGTGGAAGGTGTCCCTACCCATGGCAGGGGTTGGAACTGAATGAGCTCTATGGTCCCTTCCAACCCAAACCATCCAGTGATTTTATGATACTAAATGTCTCAAAGAGAGATTTCATAACGAGCACACAGAAGGGACAATGTACTTTTACAAGCACCCCTATATACCTGACTAAAGTTAAGAACCAACTTAAAATAGACACAGTATATTAACAGGCAAAAGGTATTTATTTTCAATTAAGTACTTTCTTAACCAAAATTGAGAGATCCAAAGTTAGATCTGGAATACTGTTTCTACAGCACTTTTGGACATGATTGTGGCATGTCCATGCAAGATAGTGTCTGCTCTTTTTATCAAATCCACTGCTTGGGAAATTAAAAGAGAGATGTCAGCTCTGACTAATTTAATTCATAGGTGTGTTTTGGGCCAGCCAAACAATTGCAGTTGTTTGTGTAACACCACGGGCCAAAAGGGTATTACACTGATAAATAGATCCTGATCCCCTGACAGTACAAATCACAATGAGCTTATGGATTTGAGATGGTTTACAAATGACAGTAAAAAATGAGCTCGGAATTTGGCACAGGGACCATGAAGGAATAACCAAACCACAGGAGGCAGATGTGATCTGTCCAGCACATGTGCAGGGCTCAGGAGCACACTGCAGGGTTAACCCTGTGCTGCCTGCTTAACTGGGGGGCTTGGCAGGCTGATGCTATTCATGAGCTGTGCCCTGAAGCTGAGCATGGCAGTGC